AGCAGTTAGTAGTATTGTCAGTTGAAATTTATAAAATCTTTCTCTTAAAACCCGGTTTGAATCTCACTATGGTCAATTTATGAAGGGAGGTAACTTCTTGCCAGTATCATACTGTGATGATGATCCCAACATGAAGCACTGAAATGAGAAGTTTCTGAAAACCATACCACAAGTTGCCCCAAGATTTGAGAGTAAAATTAGAAAGACAGAACTGTTTGGAAGCCATTAATGGTTGTACTATAATGAAGTTACTAGTCATTGTGACCAAGTGTTTTAACATACTAACATTGTTCAGTTACTGATTATACCAGATTATGTGCTCTCTTACAACTGTAACTAAGGTCAGCTCAGCTTAATCACAACATGAACTACAGGTTGGCTCTGTGCATCTTGAAAAAACTAAACCGTACATGAACAGGTATCTGCAATATACTCAGAAATAAGCAACCATTATAAGTATATAGGAATTAAATCTTATATATATATATATATATATATATATATATATCTTTTTCAATCATTAAAGTTCCATCAGAAGTTTTATTTGAAAAACAATTACTAGGACAAACACTGTCAAATACTTGCAGACGTAACTGTAAAACTATCACACGTTATTTTAGGACCATTTAGAAAATAACAGCAATGAATCCCTTTACCACCCCAGCAAATTCATGAAAAAGATTTTTGTGAGCTAGTGTGATTATTTTTTAACTAATGAAAATCTTGTATTCAAATTGTTTGCACCTCTATGTGAAATCAGATTTTGGATCTCCCTTATGAATATAAAAATAGAAGCATACTGCTTCTCGTGGTTCAAAACAATTTGAGGCCAGTTTGATCTACACACACACACACAAACATACACACAATGGAAGAGATGACAGCCACCAGCTACTGATTAATGCCTTGTCCATGCATTGACAGAAACATTAATCTGACCATCACAAAGTAAGTTCCCATACATCTCACACCAACTAAGAACATTTAATTACTTGATAAAATAAACACAAACTTCACTGCAAGGAAAACTGAACATTTTGTTATTGTGTGTATGCATATATATATATAATTGTTAATTCAACCAATGTTCTACTACTTTTCCTTCAGTGAATAACATTTTTAGTGTTTCATTTAAAAGATGTGTTGTTATTAAATATTAAATGTTTGGAATCTCAACAATCAGATAGCAGCAAAAACCTGGGTAGATAGATCCCAACAAGTATATATAAACAGTTAAATAAGTGAATATAGTTTTAATAAATTGAAGTGTATAAGAATGATTGGTTAAATTAGGTTATAGAAAAATGAATATCACTACTTTTTGAATTGACAAATATATTGTAGATTAAAATAATTCTTTTCTTGCATCTTGAAAACTGTCAGATTAGAGATTAGATTATTTTGATTTATGCAAACTCTCATTAAGTATTAAGAATGGATTAAAAAAAAATGCATAAAAAAAGAATTCACTTAAAGGATGAAAAAAAAATGTAAAAAGAATTGTGGCTATTTTAGCTCTTTTAATAACCTTGAAATCACCCACAAACATTTAATTTCTTACCTTATCTAATTTTCTGTTTATCAATGAATCTATTGCTGTTCATATATATCTAATTATGTTTATATGTTTTTATTCATTAATTTCATTTTGACTATTCTTCTACCTATCTATCACTATTCCCATATCTCCCTACCTATCACTATTCCCATATCTCCCTACCTATCACTATTCCCATCAGTCCATATCTATCACTATTCCCATCAGTCCATATCTATCACTATTCCCATCAGTCCATATCTCCCTATCTATCACTATTCACATATGTCACATTTATCCCTTTCTATGTTTCGCTATTCACATCTGTTCATATCTGTCCTTATCTACCTATCACGGTTCAGATCTGTTTATATCTATCAAACTATCCGCTGAAAATTTTTTTTAATCTCTATGTGCCTAAAGCAGAATTTTTTTGCCAAAAATGTTTAAATAAACTCTGTGCTTTTATTAAATTTGGACAGTTGAGAGTAACAGAGGATTAATGGCTGGTTGGTTGATATATTGCTCTGAGGTTTGGAAAGTTTGTGCTGAAAGTATTCCAACTAAAAGCAGATATGGATCTCAAAATTTGTGTCTGTGGTGGTTGCTGCTCTGATGCACATTATAAACCAATATTCTTCAGTCCATTTAACTAAGTAAAGAAGGATTCAAGTATTGCGAGTGAGTAGATGCCTGTTCTATATTAAAGAATTTTAGTAAATTTCTAACAAGAAAAATACAGCAGACCATGTTTTTCAAACTTATATTTAATGCAACCTATAGCAAGAACTACATTTTGCATTGCGGCCCATTATACTTGCATGTAATAAATCAAAGATAAACTGTTTTCTAGGTTCCTTTATTTAGCATCATTAATTTATATGTATATCTTTTATGATCTACACATATTGGGATTGCATGTATCTATTTATATTATCTATTTGTATCTAATGTGATATGACTTTGCTCAGTTTTTTCTACAGATATTTTGATGTCAACTGTTCTGATGAACTTTTCTCCTTGATGCCTTGACTACATGAATTTAAATGTGCTACTAGATTGGCAACTAGATCTTCCCATTTTACTGTTGAACTAGCTAGATGCAACCATCTGTTCTGTTGTAATAGTTTCTTTTCATGCATTTCTTACCAGTGGAACTCTTTTCTGCTTTCTTGCTTCCATGCCATCTACAATCTTTAAATGCAATACAAATAGCCATCTTCTGTCTTTTATTGTTCTTTCTCATTCTCTTTCACCCACAGTAACCACTTGCATCCTAGTGGCATTATCACCTTGTTTAGGGTGAAATGATTTAAACAATCTGTTCTAATGCTAAAATTTACGTTGGTTTGGTTTGTTTTATGGCATATCAACCTCAATAGGTTATTTAATGCTGACAAGATTTTTATTACTGGTAATAATTTTTCCTCAAAAACTTATTGCAGGTTATTAAAACCTATTTTTACACTTTTATAGTTTTTTTACCCCAGTTTGGGTGTTACCTATTTTTCCATAGCTGGGGCCTTAACAGGTGCTACCATCCTGGGTCTGGGTGAGCCTGGAAACACCAGCAATTAAAAGGTGGTTCCATGCTCCTGAAAATCTCCTGATCAGAGGCCTTGCTGTTGGACATAGTTTATCGTCTTACCTAGGACGGGTAAAATTTAGGCACTTGCTTAATTCTAATATGCTTCTAGTATTTACTGTATTAGAAATTTTGTAATCAAGAGAATGAATGATTTTTGAAGCACTTGGTTAATAAATCATACCAGCAATATCATTGATTGAATTGACATTTAGGAAAATATCTTTAATTTCTGACATTATTTTTACAACATTCTGAAAAAGAAAATCAAGTTCATTTATATTTCATTCTTTGAAGAGCAAATTCTACAACAGAATGAAAATTGCATGTTTAATAAAGCAGTAACTGAAGCTTTCTTTGCTGTTTGCAAAGACTTAGGAATTTGACATTATTCTATGAACACTATAACCTTGGAACTGGTGAGATATTGAGCACAAAGACAAGATGAAAACTGCTGTAATTGTTGAAGTGAAAGAGTGCAATATAAAGAAATTTCCCGAGGGAGAAGGAAGAAAAAAGATTGAAAGCAAATAATTAGTTCTTTTTTTTTTTTAAAAATGAACAAATACCTGAAAAAAAAAGATGGGTTTCCATCACAGGAGAAAAATCAATCAATGAATAAAGTAAGTTACATATACAAAAAACATACATCAAAATTTAACAACTTTGAACAAAAGATGTTGAATAATTTATTTGTACCTAAAACATTTAAAAAAAAAAAAGTTTTTTTTCCCAGATTGTTCAAATTATTTAAAATTAAATTCTTTATCTAATTATTTTTTCATTATTGTAAAAAGAAAAAAAAACAGTTGATAAATGAAAACTTGTAAAACTTCATATTCAATTTTTATATTATGCAATAGCCATGAGGGACTTGGCACTTTTCCCTTTGTCTACAAATATACACATGTGTCCTCACAATAAACTGACCTTTTCCATTAATTTGTTTATTTATTGACATAATTAACAAAAATGGTAAACAAAGTTTAGATTCTGGTTGATGTGCATTCTCTTTGCCTTAATACTCAAAGGAAAGTCAGGAATCTATCTTTCCCTGTGCTCTTATGAGATATTTTATCATGTCAAAAGAATCAATTGAAAAAGATGCAGTCAGGGATACTTCACTACTATTGGTATCATATAACTCAGTACTATCTCTTATTTTTTAGAGACAAGATGAATCTTGCCAAGTTCCTCTGCTCTAGAGATGTAACAAAGAACTTAACATAGTACCAAGATGGTCTCATCGATAAAATGATTAACCAACCAACTAATGATCATAAAGTCCATTTAAGTTTCATTTAGTACACAAAATATATTACAAAATTATAATTGATGAAAACACAGTATTTTTCTTTTAACTCAAACATTTTTACCTTGCACATATTTCTCATGTTAAGATAAATATAAATGTTACCCAAAGACTTCTTGATGCAGGTCTTGTGGTTCTCTGGCATAGCAAAAATGGAGAATTATCATCTGCTGAAGATTATCCTACTCAGGGAAGTAGCCACTGACCAATGGAAACCAGGAACCCCACCAAAGAGATACAAGAACTCCCTGAAAAGTTCTTCATCTCTAATAGATTTATGTATTGTTAGTGGGAAATAGAATTTATTTTGCAACCTCTCTTGCTGAATCAAGCTACAGAAAATGAGGAAGAAGAGTAAAAGGCCAAAGCCTCTTGTAGAGGCCATATTAACAATCTAAGAACCTGAAACAGACATGGAAAATTGTTCAAAATCTTAATTCACAAAAACAAACCACAACATATATGAAAAGTTAAAGTAAATCCATTTTTTTTTTTAGCATAACCTTTAAAAAGAAGTTTTCTTCAATTAATGAAACCTTATATTGTAATAATGTTATTTACTTTACCTCTGGCACATGTTTACAAGGGTTTGTGTAACATCCTGGTTCTGTTTGATGTAAGATGTTAGTTCTGCAGCTTCCTTCTGTACAGCCTGCCGTCGAGTCCTGATTGTGCTTTCTGTGTGACGGTCGAGAATCAACTGATCTCGGACAGATTC